CGACGTGGCCAAATAACTGACGGCCATTCAATCGCCGACCACAACGGAGCGCCTTTTTTTGTGCGTTATGGAGCTGCCTGGTTTTGTCTGGCCATGGTTGGGATGACTTTCACTCTGCCCTCCCAAGATTTTAAATGACCACAGACGTCGTCATAAGGAGCGTGGATAATGTATGCCAGTGCCTCATATTTTTAGTAGATGATGACCGCTACAGCTCATCGTCAACAAAACGAATGGAGAAGGGCATCTCTTGTCTAAAGGGACATGGGGGGGAGGCTGACGTCATACTTTACTGCCTCTGTAACCCCGTGTTCCAAGCCTTTTTTAATTTTATTTTTTCTCGTCCTGCCTGTACATCACATCACATTAATTTTCTGTCACTTTGCCCCCACAAACCACCCCCCCCCCCCCCCGTCTCTTCATGTGTGGCATGAAGGGAAGGATGGAGTGCATGTGCATTATTTACAGTAGCTCTCAACCCTACGGTCCCTGCATCCCTCGGCTGTTTTTAGAATTACTCGAGTTTCTTTCGAGACTTCATAGAAAAAAACAAAAGATTTTGGTTACCCAAAAAAAAGCACAAAAAAAATGCTGTTTTGGAGTGGAAAAAAAAACATGTGATGCAGGAAATAAGAGAGGGGGATGTAAAAGCTTAAGTTCATAACTCAAATCATTCCCTGCTGGCTATGTGCGCCATTAATAAATTAACACAGAAATGGATGGTGTGTATTTTTTTGCATTATAAAGGCTGAGACCCAACAACTCATCCAAAGCTTTTGAAATACTGCCTTTTAGTTGAATTGGGCTCGCCTTTTATCAGTATTAAATAACCCGTCAAGATCAATCATCCGTCTCAGGGCCGCACACGGCCTCACACAGTGCTCGGGCCATTCCAGGACGGGGGCTGCAGATCCTCCAAATGTCTGGAAGGTATGCTGCGGGGGCTGAAAACCCCCCCCTTCTGCTTGATGAAATTCATAACCCTCCGACTTGACAAGCCTCTGCAGTGTTGCACTTCCTGAACTGCCACTGAACTTTTTAGTGCTTCCTTCTGCTTCACTTGCAGCTCAAGTTGCTTTAAGAAAGCCGAGGCTCACGTTGCTGTTAGGAAGACAGTAAGTAAAAAAAAAAAAAAAAAAGGTTTTGGATGACTGAGACAATGGGGTGGCCGAGTCCTTGGGGAGTTATTTTCACGCTCTCCGTCCCGTCTCTTGTTGGTTTGCTATATTTTTCCTTTGGGAAAAAGAGTTTTCCAGGCACCAAACAGCAGCGTTATCACCGGAGTTGTATCAGCACTTGTTCAGCTGGCATTTTTTAATGCACTTTAAGTAAATCGAGCTGTTCGGTGCTCACTTTGTCTATCCAAACTAAAAAAAGTTTGAGTTTACCCTCTGCATTTATGCAATCTGCACAGTGTAAGTAAACAAATATTCAACTAATTTGGCATGTCAACAAGAAACTCTATAGTTCTGAATCCATTTAGTTTCCATCTGGGTAAAATTACTTTTTTTTTTTAAATACTAGACTGTGAAAGAGTGTGGGACCTCATGTTCCCAACATTTTTTACCTTTTTACTTCTCACAGAGGAAGCTAGATTCAGTAGGATGGCCCAGCTGGTGTGGCCCACAGTTCTCCAGCCAGCATCTAAATGGGAAGAATTGAGAAAATGTTTTTCATTTCATTTCTGCTCCTGATTCCTTTTTTTTTTCTTGTTGTTTGGCAACCAGAAATGTGTCAACGGTGGCGCTAATTTTATTATAACGCCGTAGATTCCCGGCGGTGGATGATCCGTTGGTGGTGGGTAAACGGTGCCTCTTGTGTATTGGGCTTCACTTCACAGCTCCCACCATGTCATGTCCCACCTGATGCTCAAAATTCCCTGTAAAGTTTCTCTCTGTTTTCTGCTTTTCTCTTTTTCTTTTACACAGTCAAACGTATCTACATTTCTGGCTGAAAATGACCACGTAGGGACTCTATAACAAACTCCTGGTCCCTCCCAAGAACTCTAGTCTCTGATAACATACATAATTTGTTTGCCGGCGCGTCATCTGGAAAACACGCACACATCCACACGACATAAACATCTGTGCAATGGCTGGGGTCTATATTTACACGCACTGTGATGTCCAGGAGAGAAAGTTAGAGGTGACAAAATGTCTCCAATGTTTTCTAAGACAGTTCACAGCCTCCTATTACGCGCAACAAGCACGAGGAGGCAGCTCGCAGGGGCAGCTGTGTGAGGCCGGAGAGGAGTTTTTCACCGTCTGAGTGGGGGGAAAAAAAGGAATTCGCTGTGTGACGGGGTGCGAGAAGCGCGGTGCGTTTCAGATTTAGGAGACCCACGGGTATGGAATTGTAAATGTTGTCACACCGTGCACGTTTGCTAGCACCAGCAGGCACCGATTTAAAAGGAACTGGTGAGCTGAGAGGAATTCTGATGCTCAAGTGGAAGCAATTCTCCGTGGTCATCCTTCGTGGGCAGGTGGCCCAAGGGAGGCCAGAGAGTCGCCGCCAAGTTCGGCTTCAGTTGTTAAACGCACTTTTAAAACCGCGCAGTCCTTTCCAAATGTTCAAACCCAGCGATTTGGACCAAATCAGATCATTAAATGACATTTTTAAATGCAATCTGTTTGACTGGCAAAACTTTGCAAAGAGAACAAAAATCCACAAAACAAGGTAGAGGAAGGGCAAAACTCCATAGGCTCCTGGCCTGGAGCAGCTTAACACTAACCGTGTGTTCTCCATCTCAACTGCTACTGTTGGAGGTTTTGTTTTTGGAGAAACTTTTTTCACGGGTTTTTCAAGGGTTAGGCTTTGAATCTCTTCAAAACCAGAACAACTTGTGTAAATGCTGACCTATGTTATAGCTGCTGTGTGCACAGCTGGTGACACCAGTTTTATTTAATTCTCTCTCACACACACACTCGCACACACACAGGAGACCTGCAGCTTTCATTAGTATCACGATCACGCACATCTCTCTAAACTGAAGTTGAGTCAGAGGCACGCCCATTTAGCACTTAAATAATTACCTCTGTCATCTCAGAGCGAAGACATCTCCATCATCACATTAGCCAGTTTTATTTTCGTCTGAAGACTTTCCAGATGTTTTTAATTTTTAGAAAGCTGCGATCGTTTGCTTGTTTTTTTTTGTCTCTGTTCATTTAAAGTTCGATCACGTCAACCCACAGAGGAAATGACTGGATATACAGAGTGTTTATCATGCAAAAGGTTTTTATTTGATCTCAGTCCTACTATATACATAATCAGAGTTCATCAACATTTATTTAAATTCGACACCCGAGTCCCCCAGTGTGATAAAGCCTCTTTCTTTAGATGGAAATGACTGTTTCTCAGATAATTACACTTTTGTGTCTGGGGTAGAACTGGCTGCTCACACGCCATTACAGAACAAAGACCTGTCAGGTTCAGGGAATAAATGGGGTTTTTAAGCCAGACAGACACAAAAAAAGAAACACTTTTCTAATAGGTAATCATTGACGATGTTGTCCTCCATTACTTCTCCTGCGGACCGTTTTTCATTCACCTGTGTGTTGGATTTGATCCCGCTAAATGTCACGAGACCTCACACATTGTTATTCAGGTGAACAAATGCAGGGTTGTGGACGCCGCAGATGTCCGGACAAATCCCGCCTGATGGTGTGCCATGACTTCCTGGTTTTGCATATTTCCACTACGTGTGAATTAATGACTTTGGGGGGTATTTTTGCATAATCGTTTCATTTATTCTGCCGCATGCCGGCAAAAGGGTTTATCCACCAGAGATTTTTAGCACGTCAGAACCCGCCCCCCCCTGGGAGGGCTGGTGGGTTAACCCTCTGACAGCATTTCATAGCTGGGACAGGTAAAGGCCAAGGACGGGGCAGATGTATGATTCAGGGCGGCTCACGGTTGATTGAACCCTCCTTCATTACAGCGGCCGCAGCTCTCACTCTGAGGACTATTTTCAATCTGAAGCTGGTGAAAAAAGGAGTACAGGCTGAAGAGAAAGCAGAAAATGGCTTCAGAGACTTCAGCGGATCAAAGCAAAAACAATGTTGATGCTCCGGTAATCTGCCCCATTCTCCCTCTAATTCCCACTCATTAACATTTCCCTTCCTTTGATGCTCTTCAGCTTCATGGTCTGTTTGCTTATTTTCTCCCTCTGGTTGATTCTTTCATTTCCATACCTTTTATTTCTCTCTCTGTGTTTTTTGTCGCTGCCTGAGTTCGGGATTTACCGACCAGAAGCGGGCAGGTTCTGTTTTTAGTCAGTTCTCAGTGCATCGATTAAAGCTCAGCGAGCTGCTGTTTCACAGCCGCGTGCGTTGGCCAGCTGAGCGTGATCGGGCGTGTCGTATATCACAACAGAAGCAGCTCCACAACAAAAACCGCAAGGTCTGACCCTGAAGACCCCACGGTTACACCAGGCCTGTGAAAGGAACTGAAATGAATGCAGTAGAAGTAAATATTGTCAGCAATTACTGAGGAAGCTTAAATGAAAACGTTTTTTTTTTTGTGTGTGTGTGTATGTATTAAGTTAGTTTGATAACCATTTTGGTGAAATGAAATAAGAGATTTATTTTTCATTTAAATGTTATTTTTAATCCTCTCTTACAGTCGAATAGGAAAATCAGTCTAAATTCTATGGCAGACGCATTGTGAGGCAAAGAGACAAAATCTGTGTTGTTAGTCTCAAATTTCCAAGAAATTCAGGGGAAAAGTTGATCCCTAAAACAATTGATTAGAAATATGCCACAGTACGAACGCAGTGGTTACATTCTGACATTTTGGTTGTCAGTTCAAACGGTTGTATTTTAATGTCATGTGCCAACTACCTGTTACACTTCCAGGTTTGTGCTGTAGTGTGTTCACCGAACAGATCTTTATTTCTCAAAGTGAGCAAAGCACGATGGGTCTATTAAAAATAGGAAAAAAAAGAAAAAAAGGTGGAGTTTCGATTCTCAAACTGTGCTGTCTGTCTGTGTCTGTTTCTCCAGTATCGGATCGGGCAGCTGTACATGATCAGTAAACACAGCCACGAGCAAAGCGACCGCGGGGAAGGCGTGGAGGTGGTCCAGAACGAACCCTTCGAGGATCCCACTCATGGCCAAGGACAGTTCACAGAGAAGCGAGTCTACCTCAACAGGTCAGTTTTTTATGACTGTGCCATAAACCTAAATGTTTGAACAGCTAAAGATGAGAGGGTTCTTCACAGGAACAATTTTAAATGAAAACGGTCACAAAACAAATGGCCAGACTGGTTTAAGAATCTGGTCAGCAGATATGAAGCCCAGAAAAAGTTGGCTTTCCTAAAAAAAAAAAAGAAAGAAATGGCCAAATGTTTGTTTGGCTCATAGTTGTTTGGCTCGCTCGCCACCTGTTTTTTTGTCTCCACTTTTTAGAAAGGCTCATAGCTAGTTAGACTTTTACCAAATGCCTCTTTTTATTTTTCTGCACACTGCAAGTAGTTGTATAAAAAAAAAAAAAACATTGAAGAAATACATCAGTTTAGACTTTATACACAGGGAATCAGATCATCCTTTTCCTATTAAAAAACACTGTTTTTTTCTAAGCTCGGTCTGTGTCCCTCACTGGTGCATTGCAGTGTATGCCATTAGCCTGCCAGTCTTGTTGCAGGGACTTTAACTCAAATCACAGGTGGACGAGGAGAAAATTCACAGAAAGAAAAGAAGGGAAAATTGTCAGAGACAAAGTAAGAGCAAACCAGCGACGAGTGCGAGAGGGTTGGAGATGCTGCTGGCCATTTGTCGGGGCACAAATACTCGTGTCAGCGTTCACTTTGCTGGGGGAGCCAATTATGTCGAGTCAGCACACCTCTGCTCTGCAGAGGGGAGGAATAAAGCAAAGACAGGGCTGTACGCAGAGAAACGTTGGCTTAAAACGGGAGGAACATAAATCTTTTCTTCAGTTCTTAAAACTCATGAAAATGAACAATAAACCGGCTGCCTTCTGTGGAAGGATGGTAATATGACAATGATACCGATGATAAATCCAGTATGTGAAATAAAAATGATACAGTTTTGTAGATTTGTTCTCCACTGTTACTTCCCACAGTGATTATCTATCTGTTTCTTTGTGCAAAAACTGAACATTTAGCTTTGATTCAGCAGCAGGGAGCTCAATCTGGGCTTGTTCTGTCACACTTCAACTACCTCATTACCACCCTCAAAACCTGCTTCGTACACCACTCCAGTTGCTTCAGAAAATCTTAACCTAATACAGTTTTCCATTAAAACATGTCCCCTTTTTTTAAAACTGGATGTATATATTCCCCCCCTCCCAATTGGAAACGCTGGCTTGTGAATAATTACGTGCTTGGCCACTGTGAGCTGTCTCTTAGCTGATACTACCCATAATCTTTTGAAGGAACAAGGAGAAAATGGGCTGGAGGTGTAGCAAGGGTGTCAGTCTCTTTTTATGTTTGGCTGGAATGAAAGGGAATATGCCAGAAAGAAAAAAAAGAAAAGAATTCACTGCTGAAAACTCATTTTATTCACAGCTGTCGTGAGCTTCTTTTTTTCCCTCCTGTTTTTAATGCGGTCTGGAGATGAAGCCAGTCTTATATGATTCTGTGTTATATTATATCACAGGTCTCAGAAATGTCACTGGAGCCCCATAGCAATGGGAAAATGCTCCTTACGCATTTGAGCATTTTGCTGAGACTTTGTGAAACGTGTCTGAGGAAACCACAGCCGTTTGACCCCCACCATGTTCCACATCTGTTCTAAGAATCCAACATTGCTCTATTGTACACATACTGTAGGCTTTATTGCATAGAAGGAGTACTTCAGGTTTTTCCTTTTTCTTTATACATTTTGTCCAACAATTGGAAGAAATGAGTGTAAAATCCTATGTAAAAATAACACATTACAAAATAAAATCTATCAGTTGCTCAAAAGTAACTCTTTTGTCTTAACTTTGATTATTTTCATAACTGGTTAGTTACTTATCCTGTAAATAAGTACGACAATCTTTGATTTAATACAATAATAGCGTTTATAAACTGCCTTGAGATTTTATTCTCAAAAGCTATGATTGTTATGCCATTTTCATTTGTTTTTCTTTGTTTTTGGTCTATTTGGTTTTAAAAAGCTTATTTTAAGGGAGATAGGAAAAGAAAAATTCATGTCAAGAGACACTTAGTTTCTACTCTTGTTAATTTGTCGAAACGCACCATCTGGCCAGCTGTCATATCAAATCCTACGTATTACCACATCGCCAACTGTTCCCTAAAATGGGCCTCATTCCCTTAATCAAAGCTTTTTTGGAGCGTTCATTTAGCATATTTCCTTACACTTTGTTTTTCGTGTTTTTTTTACACTTTGTGTTTTCTACTGAGAGCACTCAGCATTTTTTTTTTATTGATTGGAGTGATGAAGAAAGCAACGCCACCCCACACCCCCCCCTCCCCTCCCACACACACACACACACACACACACAACACACACACACACTCACTAACTCACTCACTCACAAACACTGTTTATGCTCACAGTCTCTCTCCTCTGTTTTTCCCATTTCTCCCTGCAGTAAATTGCCCAGCTGGGCTCGTGCAGTGGTTCCAAAAATCTTCTATGTCACAGAGAAAGCATGGAACTACTACCCTTACACCATAACAGGTGAGTGCACCGAGCAAATGTGTTTAGCAGACGTCGCCGTACCGCCCAGAGATGCTCTGTAACACTCCACCGCTCCAGCCTTTGCCAGGAGTGGAAACAGAGTAGCTTTACACTGTTTCCAAAGGTCACCTTCTCAGTTATTTTTCATGACTTTTTGTTTAGTTTTTTGGCCACGACACGTTTTTATAAAGCACCTCGCCACTTTACTGGAGAGTTGCAGTTGTGTAAAAGAACAAGAACAAAATCACAAGCTCAGTCTGCTGATCGCCACTGCGCATTTTTTTTTATAAGTTTCAGGAAAAACGTAAATTGAAATGGCTTCTGGAACAAATTGCCAGTGAAACTCCAGGCAAGTGTTGTGTTTTTTCCAGGGGATCTAGAGTACAGTTTTTAACTGCTCTGCTCTATGTCGTTTTTAAGGCACATGTGGGGGCGTCTGCTATGAGATGATTTTTTTTGGGTAAAATGCGGGTCACAGCTCTGTCTGGATCGATTTAGAAACAAAATATCAACTGAACGGCCTAAAAATGTTCTGCTAGTAAGTAAAGAACACTTTCCCTGAATCATGACCCCGACACAAGGGAAAACAAAGAGTGTTTAAAGTATAGTAAGCAAAATGCTAATCAAAGGTAAAAGGTCAGTGAGTGTTGTGGCTAAAAGTAGAAGTGGAATCTGAACATTGATCGCAGTTGATCAATAAAGCATAATCTAAAACAGTAAATAAGATGCAAGGTGTTTGGTTAAAAAAGAAACAAAGAACAAAATGACAAAACAAAAAAACAGTAGACTTTTTAAGGTCTGAGAGAGGCATTGTCAATCAAAAGGAATCTCTTTAATGAGAGCAAATTACCGAGGAGCAGAGGTTTCTAGATATGAGATGTATATGATATGATATGATGTATTTTTTATGTCATACAATTTATGCTTTGTCTCCGTGTGTTTTTATTTTGACATTTGATTAAAGTGGCCTAACTGTGTCTTTGTTTCTTTGACCGCTCCGACCCGATGTCTCCTCGCCCTTTGGTTTGAAGAATACACTGTAAGTATCTCCACTTTTCAGCGACCCCAACAGTTCTTAAATAAAAAAAGGAAGCCCTGTGATTATTGATGCGTTTGGTTTGTGGGCAAATATTGCAAAACACGACAACAAATGGCTTTCATTGAAATAAAAGCCAACTCTTTTATTATTGCTCTAGATTTGTGTTCAGTAATGAATGTGTCTGGAAATATTGGCCTGGGGGAGCATAAGACATGGCAACTGGCAGGGCATTTTTTTAATGTCTTTTTACAGCAGGGATTCCTGCGGTGCATTGCTCTTCAAAGTGTATGCCCGGTCATTTTTTTTATTCTAAAAGGTTTTGGGAAAGAATTATGCTGAACCTGGATGCTCTTTTTTTTTATTTTATTTTTTTTATTTTATTTTTTATTTTTTATTTTTTGCAATTATCAGGCCAACACGTGCAGACCCACCATGTTTTCTGCTGAATGACCCATTATTAACCCTCAAATCACAGGTAAATTTGTCTGATTCATTCACACCATGAGAGTCCTCTATAGGTCCTCTCTGGTGCAGAGAGAAATATGGACAGCATGAGTCACGGCGCTTTAAAGTGCGGAAATTAGGGGGGGAAAGAGGATGACGTGACAGATGCAAAACGCTGGATATTGCGTGTTCTGTCTAGGAGCGTTTCATGTTCGCATATGAGTCAATGTTCAGTACATACAACAATCCAGGAGAGTTTTTAGACGAGCGACAAAAAAAAAAAATCCTTGCAATTGTTGGTTGTCGCTTGACAGCTTAATTTTTTTTTTTTTTGTCATAAATTACATAGCGAAGTTTTCCAGCCCCAGCCGTGACAGTTAGTGGTGACGAAGACTATGGTGAGAGATGTAAGAACAAAGCAGGTAGCAGCGACTTGCTTTTGTAGAGTTGTGTTGCCCAAACGAAATTTAGTCTGAGCTCTCACCAAGCCCGACCTGTGTTCTCACAATGGCTTTCATAGTTTATGGCCAAATAGATTTTTCTCCATTAAGTTTTCCCCCCCTTTAAAAGCTTTGAAATTCAGATGACTAGCAAAGACCTGGTTGGTGATATGATGTCTTTTTTTTTTCTCACTGGTCCTGTGACATTCTCTTTCACCCACAGTGCTCATTCCTGCCCAAGTTCTCCATTCACATAGAGACAAAATACGAAGACAACAAAGGATCGAATGACAATGTAAGTACAGCCTGTATCACACAGTGTGACACATGTAAACACATATGATGCGCTCCTCATGCACTGAAAGGCTTCTTCCTGAGAAACTCTCCCACAATTTTACGTATTTTAAAATTTTGGACTTGGGGTTAGGTTTAAGAGAAATGCTTTTGCCACTGACATTCAACAGCTGTTATACTTCTGTATCTTTCATTGAAGACTTGGAACAGCAAACTTCTCGTTACGTCACCGTGATCCTAACGCACCACTTCTCCGGTGCCTCATTCCTCTGCGGACTCTACCTCCCACGCTTATGATGTTAGTCTGAAGATCCAGTCAGTTAATTAAACCCGCTCCAGTCCCTCACCTTTGTATAGCACTGCACGCTGTCTCTTTCCTTTCCAATACAGAAAAATAATCCTAAATAAGATGGCGCGAATTGACATCTGAGCTAAAACTGCTTCATTTGTTAGCCTTCTTGTTTGATTATTTGGCTTTTGGACTACACTTTCACATTGCTCCCGTTCCGGCAGTGGAGGGAGACAAATGTAAGTTATAAAATGTATCTATAACTTAAATAGAATATCTCCCAGCGTCTCAGGTGTCGTCCTGATCTGTCGGACTGCTTGTGAGAGCTGGTAGACAAAAAGGGACAGACTGTCAGAACGCATTAAACGCGCAGCGACGCTTCAGACGGACGCCCCTTTTTTTTTTTTTTGCTTTGACAAGGCGACAGATCAAGGCCTGTTGGATTTAGATTTTAAGAACAGAAACTCCCTTCAGCAAACTCTCGTCATGGATGAAAACTGAGCCCCTGTGTGCGATTACCTTCGGATGCCAGACATATCAAGATGCCTCCGGATGCCGGTTGAGTCGCAAGAGTGTGTGTTGTCTGCGCTCATCCAGACACACTCACTCAGCTATTCAACAATAATAACACAGCTGCACTGCTGTGTGGGAAATCTTTAGGCCAAATGAACAAGAGGCTTTTCATGTTTCCACTCTGAAAAACCTCTTCATGACTATGAGATTCGGATTTGCTTTAAATGCTGCGCTTTATTGAGAATTCAGCTGAGTGACACTTTGTTTTTAGATGTCATACAAGAGCAGACGGTAAACAACACGGAAGCAAGGCATTTTTGCCTTTTTTCTCCTTTATGACGCAATCAAAAAATGTGATCTTATGATGAATAGTAACACTATATTCTCATACTGGAGCAGAAGGAACATATCAGCTGTAAATGAGCACAATGGAACATTTTTGCTAGCATGTTTACTGTTTTTTGCCTTCGTCCCTCATTTTTCAGACCTCTTTCTTACACCCAAGTGTCTTTTGTATTATTAATACTGAAAAGGCCGCTTCAGAAATTTCTTCACACGGTTATTTGATGTAAAACTACAAAGAAACCAATGAGCACACACCCATATTTCCTTTGTCTTTTCTGACTGTGTCCACTTATTTCTGTTTAGCAGCGTGAGAGGCACTCGCCGCAGATCTGTCTCTTCTTATACTGCGTTTCTCTCTCACTCCTTGTTTTTTCTATTGACATTTTCCTTAGGATATATTAAAAATGTGAACTTAGAAATTACTTAATTTGCTCAATGCTCAGCACCTCATATATATATGACCAAATGCGTCAGACTTGCTTTTCTAACATCGTGAGAGCTGAGTTTCCCCTTAAGTTTTAGGCCCATCTCATACAAGAAAGAATAATTTATATTTTGTAGATATAAAAGCTATCAGATAAATGGTTGCTTTATAATATTTACAGTTGTATGTTGATAAATGGATTAAAAATCATATCACACATCCAGCGAAGAAATTGCCTATTGCCATAAAAATCTCAACAACATAGGCAATAAAGATCAACAATTAAATATTAAAGCTAAGAAGGAGGCATGGAGGCTGCACTCGCTTTTTTGTAAAGTCAGCTGACTGAACTTATGACCCAGTAATTGCAGTCAGCAGCTATTCCGTTCAGCTCAGAGAGAAGATGTGAGTGAAGAGCAGCCCCTACTGGCGGGGAAGCCAATGTGCTCCAATGAAATGACTGCGGAGGAACAGTAACTGTGTTCTAACTGTGTTATTCAGGTATTGAGTCCACCAGTGAGCGCTTTTCAGAGTCGTGCCATCAGGCTCCTCTTAGTGGTAAATAGATTGGTATTTTTTTTTAGTGAGCACTTGAAAAGGAATGCGTGCTGTTTACAGATCTTTGACACTGAGCTGAAGGACCAGGAGAGGGAGGTGTGCTTTGTTGACATCGCCTACGACGAAATCCCAGAACGCTACTATAAAGACTCTGAGGTAAGCTTGTGTAGGTGTGTGCGTGCTTTGTGTGCACACTCGTGGGTCAACACTGCTGGATTAAATTGGGATGTAGACTAAAACATTGTGATTAATACAAAACAAAAAGATGCTGTTGAGTGTTCTGGATCAGCCTGGAAGTATCAAGCACACACAGTCGCTCTTTCTCCGACCGATGCAGGACTTGAGATATTTCAAGTCGGAGAAGACCTCACGGGGAGTTCTGCAGGAAGGCTGGAGGGACACGCAGGAGCCCATCATGTGCTCCTATAAACTGGTCACAGTGAAGTTTGAGGTGTGGGGTCTGCAGACACGAGTGGAGCAGTTTGTTCACAAGGTAAGTGTTCAGTCATGGGGGGAGCTAACCGTTTGGAAATGGGAGCTTGTGTTGTTGGCTTTATTGTCAGCATATCCACACAAGCACTGCGTTAAAAATCCTTATTTGTAACTACTTTGAGCTTTTTCAAAAAGGCCCTGGTATCACCATGGTTGCGACGTGTCAGGAGGGTGATTATCCCCAACAGACATTTTCACCCCCCAGTAACCAGGACTGCGTTGGAAAAGCAGTCCGGCCATCTCTTTCTTATGCGCCAGGCAGAAATGTCTCGACAAATAAAAAAAAAATCCTATTTTTAGAGGCATAGCTCCCAGATGCAACATGCTGCCGGTGAGCATTTTTGCTCTTTTGAACCGGTTTCTCACAAAGGGCTCTGCTGAAGCCATGCCATCTCGTTCCTACCAGGAAAAAAAAATGCTCCAACTTATAATGATCATTTTCACTAATAAATGAAAAGAAATGATGTTGGACCGTTGTTTGCCTTGTGTTGCAGGTGGTTCGGGATGTGCTGCTGCTGGGACACAGACAGGCCTTCGCCTGGGTGGATGAATGGATCGGTAGGTCTGCAAGAAAATTTTGAAGACGCAGCAGTATTTGCACATAAACATAAAGTTAGATGCAGCCCAAAGAGGGCAGTATTTACTTTTTGTTGCCACCCATCGATAAAGTTGTAATGCCACAACTTTACTATTTGTTTACACTGTTAGCATGTTAGCTGTATGCATTGTATTGGCTGCCTTGGTGTCATTACTGTTGGAGCATGAACAATCCCCCCCGCCTGCATTCATCCTGGTTCTTCACCACTAACCCGCTAATGACCAACACTGTAAAAACTCTCCAAGCATGCTCAGCCTCCCTTCTATCCACTTTCCTTTTTGTTCCGTGACAGAGACTGGTGCATACGAAATGTTATTAAGTCAAAATTATTCTCAATATCTGTGAAATCCGGGACAGATATGAACTGTGTTTCAAACGTAAATCTAAACAAACAAAAATGATCATCCGTGCTCACCAGGCCTATTTGTTTGGCTACAGAGCTTCGAGACCAGTTGGCTGAAATTACGCGAAGGGATTTTCGGAAATTGAGAAGAATGTTGGAGTCGTGGAAAGCATGACTGCTGCCTCTGTTTATCTGGCTGCACACGAGGAAGCACTGTTCACTCAAAAGTGTCTGCAGCACATTTCCTCACTCGCAGCTGCTCAGTCTTTTCCACAGCTGTACAGCATATAGATAGTCGGCCCATTATCTTTGCCATGAAACATATGCCAGTCCCCTCCTTTCCATAACCGCTAATTCCAGCTCCCTCAAACCTGGAAAGTTCTCGATTGCTCTCAAGACCTTTTCCCAGACGGAATGACCCTTGTCTGTGGGATAAGGAAATCTTTTGGCATTTCTTTCATGTGCTCTCAATGTTCCGGCCGCTTTATCCTTTTCCTTAAGCTTGGAGCATCCTTGACTTCACCCACCTTTCCCTTCCTAATTGGCTGGGATTTGCTGCACTGATCTCCTCTGAACCTTTCGGGTCCTGGGAAGCTCACGCTTTAACCTCTGAATAATTACCTCACCAAAGCTGACCTTTGAATCCCTCCCAACTTTTCCTCTTTCTAATTCGGAGTGCGTTACAGAGGAGTTACCAACATGTCAACCCCTCATTCCCCCTGCCCCCCCTCCCCTCTTTCAGATATGACTTTGGATGACGTTCGGGATTACGAGAGACAAATGCATGAGAAAACCAACATTAAAGTTTGCCATGAGCAGCAAGAGCACTCTGCAACAAAACCATCTTCACTGGATGACATAGAGATCCATGACCGAGCAAGTGTATGTGTTTCTCATTGTTTTGCTCCATTTCCCCCTCCTCTGTGTCCTATCTGTACAGTTGCTGAGTTACCGTACATCATTACAGCAGCATATAACCCTCACCATACACCCACTCTCTATTTTTTTTTACATTGTGTTCATGAGGATGAAGGTGAGATTTTATCTGCTGGAGAAGGGTCGGTTTCAACATTGGGGAAAACAAACGACTTTTTTCTAAGCTTCTGAATTTGTGCTTGTTTCATCCCTTAACTGGTCAGATTGTGGGTTGGGAAATGATCTCCAAAAAATTACACCACTGTGCCGTCGATTAAAAAGAGGATTCAAAGTTTCAACCTTTAAATTACATTTTTTTTCTTTTCGTTAACAGATTATGAGATCCAATTGCAATCTGTTTACATTTTGAGGCTGAACTAATCTATTTCTATGTCTTCAAGGATTCTATTCTGATTTTCAAATCTGAGATGTGCCATTGCGGTGTGCAGATCAGATATTTACCTGATTAGACCAATGCAGCAAAAGCGAGAATTCTATTATTAGATTCCGTTCAGCTTTTGTCATACATGAAGGGTATTCATTACAGAAGCAGATGCATGTTTTTCATATTCTACTGTTAAATGCCAGGCACTCAAATTTGTAATTCAAATACATGGTAGTTGCTGTGGTTATCCATACTACTCATCAAGGTTAACAGTAGTGAATGAGAACTTTATGTGTCTGGTCATGTGAACCTATCCTTCTATGAATTCTGAATTTATAGCTTGATGTGCTTATGGGCACAAACACGAGGAGGGAAAAAACCACACCGATTTTATCTTTAATATACTTGCATTTTTGTACTTTTGATGGGTCACTAAAATTCTGTTAATGGGTTTGTTGAGCCTAGAAACAATTTTTTTTCACTTATATAGTCACACCTTTATTAACAGAAAAGTAAAAAAAAAAATATGATGAAAAGAGGAGATCTGTGGTTAGAGTTGAGTTGACAGTTAAAAAGTCTTATCCAATCATTTACCCTTCCAGTTCTTCTCACCCGTCTTACTCTCTTTTCAATCCAGACATGACAATGGATGAGGTGAGAGAGTTTGAGCGCACCATCCAGGAGGCCACCAATCAGAAGATTGGGATGTTTCCCCCGTCAATCTCCATAAGCGAGACAACCCTTTCCTCCTGTGCACTCACCGGCCCCGCCAGCGCCCCCTCCACTCCCATGTGCACTGATGCTCCCGAGTCCCTCTCCGTTCCCAAGGACCGACCCCGCAAAAAGTCCGCTCCGGAAACCCTGACCCTTCCCGACCCCACTGCAAGTGAAGCTCCCCAGGGCTCTCCCTCAAACCCAACACCCACATCGAACCACCTCCCAACATCCACACCGCCTTCCAACTCTGATCTCGCTGAAATTGGCGAGCAGTAGGACAGTGGAATGTCTTCCCCCTCGTTCTCCCCCTATACCCCCCTTTACCTGTTGTCTTATGAGCCCAATGTTGGTCTAACGTAGGCTCCAAATACCAGTGCCCTGACATTCAACTTCTTCAGCCATATCCAATGATTTACCATAACTCTTGACCACCACAATCACTTTAGAAGTATTCCACCACGGCAGCTGCTAGCTCAGCCACTTTGCTGACCGTGAGCCTGGCCAGCCACAGGTCACGCCCTTTTTACTCAGAAGTGCATGCTGTTTATTAAAAGCTACCATCATTTTCTTCGAGTGTCAGTTCTTTATGTGAATAAGTGGGATTCTCATTGCTTCCATAAGTTGTCCTTTCTCCAATCAGATGAGCTGGCCATGAACTAATGGATTGCGATGTAGTTGCCTTGACACCTAAAAGCCAAGATATTGTTAATTTCTCATCTGAAAACTGGCTCTTTGTGTTAGCTTAGACATTAGCTCAATGAGGCAGACTGGATCAGCTCAGTAGAAGTAACATGTTAGAAATGATAGGCATTGGCAAACGATCATAAACAAGTCCACTTAACCATTTCCCGAGCCAACCAAACTGGCCTGTGGATCAGAATGTTTCCACCTTTTCATCCCAAACTCAAACTGAGAGATGCAAGATTAGTACAATCATTGCTAGAATACACCTCAGGTTTCCCTGACACTTTACTGGCTCACACTCCAAAGGCAGGGAGGTTACTGTACCATTTTCTGCCTGCTAATTGCCAAACATAGGAATTTTCTACTTCCACGGGCAGAGTAAAACCACAACTGTTGTATGTCTGCTTATACTAATCTACTTAACCCTGGGAATGTTTACACATCATTTACACATTTCTGAGTTTAGCTGTCATTGCATCTGCGTTTGCAGATCTAACAGGATAGTTAGATAACAGCGACAAATCTCACTGAAGCTGACTGAGGTCCGAGCAACAAATGTTCTCCTTGATAACAAAGTCGAAAGTTGCCTAAAATGTATGCTGGACATGCATATGATATAAATGTGATCCATTGAGCAAATCAGCATATCACTTTTATGTCATATGTAGGAAAATGGCCATTTTGGGGCAGATTTTAGTTACCGATTGATCTGTGGGCACAGTGGAGCTATTGAAAAGTGTTACACTCAAAGAGAACAGCACATGTGTCAAGCTGACTTGAGTATGTGCTTTTTTGAAGGGGGGGGTGGGGTGCATCTCCAGAAGTGCTTAAACTTCTTACTTGCCAGAACTGGTTGGTAATGCAAAACCAGTGTTTCCTCGAGAGCGGTGACATGAATACGTTACTAGCTCTTATCAAAATCCTGAAAGGGTATCAAACAAATTCAGAAGACAAGGAGCTTACTCTTAGCCGGAGACCCCTCATTTTCCATACAATATTATTCAAAGAAAGGGTTTTTATATGCTGCATGGAATATTCACAACATATATATGTACTATATGAAGTATATATGGCATACTGTAAATGGATGGATTGACACAGTATGGTTTGTAATGCAACTGTATGGAGAGAAAAAAAGAATGCTTCCATTGGAAGTCTGACCTAACTTTGTATAGTGGAAAAAGCCGATTTGGAGTGAATCGTCAGCATGTCTGGAGATTATACTGTAGGCCTATAAACTCTGAACTTTGTGCCTCTGCATGCTACAATGATATCATTAGTTACCTGTGTAAACCAAAACCTCTGCAGTTTAGCTACTGAAGTTTGGAAATTCACCTTTTCTGACTTTTTTAATTTATTTTCAAAATCACCTTGTAATAGATGAAAATGTCTTAAACCCCACATAGAGTACACAAGTCGTACTACAATGAGACCATATCAATAATCGGGTACCTCTGCATCCCCACTGTGGCATAACAGGAGATTTTGATGTCTAGTTACCTGATGATGTTTGCTGGTTGATTACCTGCTTGTGTTGCCAGAGTTTTTGATGTTAATAATTTGGTTTGCATTGTATCCCCGACTTCAGAAAGTTGACCATAATACTCGTTGGTAGAGAGGTGCTAGTAAATATGGACCTCTGTCTTATCAAATCTTTTCTTTTCAAATGAGCTCCCATTCATGACCGGATATAAGGCCTCAGTTTTCCTTTTGGTTTGAAAAAAAATAGGTTAATCTCGTTAAAGTTTTGAGGACACAGCACAAACACTACCATGCTAGCCTCACCGGCTTTATCTGCATCTGGAATCTCGCTGTAAGAGCAGTGGAGATGCAGAGGGAGGTGGAAAAAGTACATATCAATCAACATCTTCAGACTCTCTAGTTACAGGGCTAACTGTTTGTTTTCTTCTTTTTTTTAAATGATTATTTTTGCTCCCGTTCTGTACCAAGTAAATTCATTTACAGCTCAGATGTATTTTTTTCCCATTTCCGTTCCTTGACACCTTAAATGGCGGAATGCGTTGTTAGTTTTGTAGGACCAAAGTCCCATAATACAGCAAAGTCGCTTGGAAGAGAGAAGCTTAAAGTGAAGGTCTTCGGTCGTCTTGCCATAAAATGCTGTTAAAACTTTGTACAGTTTCTCACTTGCATTTGATTTAAAAAACAAAACAAAACAAAACAAAAACAACTGTAGCTATTTATCCGTAACTGTAGCTTTTGTCTTTTGCCTTTTAAGGGTAAAAATGCTATATACCAGTCTTTGGCCCTCTGTGTAGGTCTATTATGTATAGATTATACATGCTTACTAGTCTGGTATTGACCACAATTGTCAGGAACACAGCGATCCAGGGACATGTTTGATCTACCACGGGCTATTGAAATAATGCGGAATATATGTTGTACTGTACATTAATCTCTGCTCTGTTTAAAAGAGTAATAATAGCTATTGTAAATACTGCTGGTAATGATTCATATTGTAGATTTCTTACATTGAACATGTTCCAAGTTTATTAAACAGACGTGACATGAATGTGATCAAAGATTTAGAGTAGAAGAAAAGAAGGATAATTCTTTCGTGTTTGTTTGATGAGGATGGCTTTTTCATGAATGAAAGGTGGAGTTTAATTCTGCAAGCAGGCTGAATATGTTGGCATCTATGAAGCGATGCTTATTGAGCATAATGAATTCAGTTCGAGTTTATTCTCATTGAAGTATCGAGACTTCTCATTGTAGTGGTGCACTTTTTGCTCTCCAGTTGCTTCTGATGACCCCGTGGGGTAACAATTATTTTTGAAGTTGTGAAGGCGAATTTACACTTTGCGTTTCAGTGTTGTGGCTGATTTGATGTTCACTTGCCATGTTAATTGAGAAGTGATTGGCTTTTTTTCTGTTTTCTCTTCATTAAATAGGAAACCTGCTGTTCTTTGATTTTGTGATTGCTGTCTTAAAATCTTTCTTTGTATAAAAGGACCAAGTAACCCACTTCCCTCCTTTTCAGGCGGCCGTTTGCATTCGGCCAGTTTGTTGTACTCCTGATTTCTGGGCTCTGTCTCACAAACCTTAATCGGGGATGTTGGGGATGTGTCACTGACTCAAACCGCAGCCCACTGTACTGTTCATGAAGGTGAGGTTCTGGTTCCTGTTTTGTGAAACAAACCCCAGAGGTGTCATTCATGTTTAGCTGCTGGAAACTGCTCTTTGTTCTTCCACTTTAACTATTGTTCTTGTTATATTTTTACTGCCTTTTTGGGCTTTATTTGGTTCTTTGTTGTAATTATTGTTTACCTTTTTTTTCTGAAATGGATAAATAAACTTTATTAGCTATTGTGACAGTGTTACTTCTCATTTTGTTTCCGATGCATGTTTCCCACAGACTCCCTTCACCATGGTAACGATGTTGCTGCAGAGATTCTATGAAAACCTGATCTTCGCTCTATTTACCAGCGGAAACTTGCTTTCATTTTCCCAAATTTCCCAGGAATTTTTAGCCTACTGTGTTCCTTTGTAATTGTTCTGTATCTCAGAACTGCTGCACATATCACCGCTGCCCTCTTATAGTCTGTCTTCAACCAAAATATCTTTGATTAATCATCACCAGTTTATCAGTTTGAATCTGAGATTTCCAAGGGATTTTGGTTCTCTCCACCCCATTTAGAGATGTCTAAAACTTGAGAACTTCCAGCCTATAATCTGCACACATGTTCATATACACTATTTCTACCACACTTCTACCATCGGGTTATGGCCTGCATCTCAGACCCCTGTTGGATGTATTGGACTGTACCAGTGACCTCTTTGCACAGCCCTCACCCAGATTCCTGTTTTTTAACACCAGACAGATGCATATAAAATGAGAATGCTTCAGTAAGTACAAGTTTTTGCATCAAAATGCTTGTATCACTGGCTGACATTCTGATATTATTGTATTACAACCAAAATGTTTTCTCAATTTGCATTTGAAAACCCTCTTTGTTGCAAAGTTGCAAGACAAATGTAATGACCATTTATCACACACTCATAGGTCCAATCTGTACTTGAAAGAAGGGTTAAGCAGTCAATTAGCTTATAATGAAGTGTTATTAGAGTTGAGTTAATTTTTTCTCATGGAGAAAATGTTGGCAGACTTCAGTCTGACTCAACATTTTGGTCTGTGATATGGAGGTGTTACAGTATTACTAAGAGATTTCTGTTTTTTGCAGCTTTGGTTCCTCCACCAAATTATGTAGTGACGAGGATGAGCAGAATCGTAAAAATGAGGGATATTCCCTCACCTTGTTTAAACTGAACAACGTTTTTGAGCATTTTTTCAAGTTAATAGCAGAAAGTTTTCTTTTAAAAAAGAATGGACCTGGTAAAGTAAAAGGGAAAACTATCTGTTTCCTAAATGACTGTTACTACTTAGCACATAGATTGTGGATTGACCAGAAACATCTATGGAGGACATGTTTAGAAGAGGTTTTACCGGGTTGAAATCCTACAACTGACTGTAACAAAATGATAGTTATTTTTGCAAAAGAGGGACTTGTGTAGTTCACACATAAACACTACAACGATTTTGACAGAATATAGGAAAGTCCCTCCATAGATGACTTGTGAGGTGCCATTTCCAGAGGGCAGACACCACAACACTGATCATAACAGTGCGAATTATGGCCAAAGCGTGCCCTCTGCTGGATATTGAGTCGAAGGCTGTTGTAGTGGTAGGTGTAGCGGGATCTGTAGGGACAGGATTAGCTGTGATGGATTGTCTCACTTGCTCCACATTTGGTGAGCAGCAGGAGGCACTGGTGACCACTGTAATGTTTTTGCCTCCTACTCCGACCACTGTGCTGTTACTCAGAGTTCTGTTTTCCTTGCGAATGGTAAGGATCTCTACACCAGCTCCATTGATGTTATCAGTGACATTGGCAACAAATTCGCATTTGGATGAAACACAAAGAGGAAGAACATTTTGACAGTGTGCTGACCTCCTGCCACATGGGAGGAGTCACATCTGTCACCTGGAGATAGAAATAGGGAGAATGGGAAGGTTGTGGGTGCACATTAGTATTTAAGTTATAAAACAGGAACGAAGTGTCTTCAAAAACCTATAAAAAGTAAGCATTTATGTCAACATAATTATTTGTGATCATATAAAAACTAAGTAACAAAATTGAGCCACCAAAGCAACAACAAGATGGATTAATTTTAATTCAGTCTGTATGGAAATGAATCAATAATCATAGATCCATATTTAAATCTCAGAAATGAAAGAGTGCTGTTTGAGTAAGCCAATGGCCATTTGCCACAATCCTGTTTGATTTTCTGGGGTGAGTTTTAAATAGTGTAAGTTTCCAGCTGTAGTGGAGGAGTACGAGGGACCGCTGGACTGGCTGGAGCTCTGAGTTACACCTGGAGAACAGGTAAACTTCAAATGTCTATGAGCCCAAAACTGTGTAAAAACATTCTGTGGTGTTAGAGAAGGATATAAAAACCTGTTGGACTGCAGAGATTGAAGGTAAGAGAAGAACCTCTCGTGGTGTGCACAGTTACATCAGACTTGGCAGTTTCTTTTTATTGTGCCAAAAAAAATAAATCAATCAACAACTGCCAGATTTATAAGAGGTTGATCTGATTTGACCCGAGAACTGAATGTTTCCCAGCTCTACCCAGTTGGTGTGGCTGTACAAATCCTAAAAAAAAGGTAAAAACAGATGTAGTGTTTTCTTTTTTGCATTATATAGACCTATGAACTATAATGTAATTAAACTAAAACATCTGAAAATGGATCATTAGACTCACCTGTAGAGTGTGGCAGACTCATCCTCGAGTCAACCTTCAACAACACAATTCTCCCGCTTCACACTGGCCTTTACACCTAAGAAGCACAACATTTCTGCATTTTCTTCCTGAAGCTTGATATAATCAATGTTCTAAATCTAAAAACAACTTAACATCTATTATTAGATTAAAGTTATTATCATTATCATGTCGGGCTTTAGGATAGAAACATACTATATAACACACTCTACTCCAGCTGCCATTGGCCGTAAGGCAGGGCAAACTCTGGACTGATCAAAAGGGATTAACAGAATCAGCGGACACAGAAAAACAAAGCACGCCTAAACTCATTCCTAGGTAACCCAAATAACCCCGTAATTACATTTTTGACAGTGTGGGGAAGCTGAAGTACTTCGCACATAAAGGGTGGCACCATAAAGTTTTTACAGGGACAAGCCTAAAACAACAGTGAATGTTGCCAGCATGAATAGCTGTGAAGTAGCTGGCAAACAGCCATCAGCTATGAGCTGTTCACCAGCAATGCCAGCCGCCCTTCAGCTGTTGATTGATGGTAGGAAATGTTTAACTATTTCCTTATGAGCGTTCTGTATCAGATGAATACCTTTTTTCAAAGCCCTAGGAGGAAATAACTTACAAGGGTTAAACCCGCCGAATGAATATTTCCCTCCCTGGAATACTTTTGTTATCTGCAGTCATGCTTTGACAATGTAAGAAAGTAAGATTACCATCGTCTTTTTCACTCTTTACCTGCTGCAATGACATCCCTTCCTCCCTGGATGGTCTCATCATCAAAATGGTCATTCGTGTATAGTGCAAGAGCCACATCTACCTTTACATTGCTGAAGTATATCTTAGCAAATTAAATTTGGAACGTAACTGTGGAGAGGAGGTAGGAGGTACCTCCAGAAGAACAAGCCCTTTGCACTGTATCAGCTCACAAACTACCAAAAATAGAACACGTTTAAAAGATATTTAGTATTTTCCCCAGTTTTATTCAGTTATACATTTTAACCCAATAAAAAAACGATTGAAAATTTGGACTTTTGTTTAGTGTCCAAAAGAGACGTTCATAGAATCTTGATTTGAATCCATCTCTATCTGATGTTTGAGTGAATCTTTAACTCACGTTAAGGCAGAATTTTCTAACGTCAGATGCACAAATTGCTCTGCAGACCTGTCTAAAAGGTGGACTGCCCGAAGAGTAATGTCACGGTGAGTGGAGGTGTTTCCAGCAAATGAGAACAATGGCTGGAAGCTGCTAGCAGCACCACCAAGAGCTTTAACTCCTGTCTAGCAGTCACGATGAAGACAAAAGAAACAAGAAGAAATCTTGGAGCTTCAAAACCTCTTTAAGGGTTAGTTAAACAATCATTCCACCTGTTGAAGTTCTGTTGTCCCCTTTTCTTTTGTGTCTATCTCACCTGCTATGAATTCTGAACTATACTTAAGAAGCCAAAAGTAGGAAATAATCTCCTTGCTTCCTACTTTCAGAGGGTACTTGCTCCAATAAGGATGTAACCAGGGAACAAGAAGCAACACCCAAGAAAGTGGAAGAAAGCTAAATGAACACAACATGCAAAGACAGAAGAAATTTTGAAAATGAAACTGTTTAATCACATCTATCTTAAATTATGAAAATGTACCAAATTTACAATGTCCGAGCTTAGCTTTTGATGTTTATGTATATGCTTTTAGCAGATGCTTTTGTCCAAAGTTACTTAGAATGTAGAATATTTGCAAAGTAAAATATATACATTTGATATTTTGACCTGACATTATGAGACAGGGTAAGGTTCCCCTGACAGGCCAAATTATCAGGACACATTCTAGATGTTAACAGGTTCTCCCATTTGGCTGCAAAAAAGGATTAATTGTATGTTTTGAAGTCTGAATTGTCTAAATGTTCTTACTTTTCATTTTTAAAATAGAAAGATATAGATAAAAAGCAACCTATTTTCTAGTTGAAAACTAATATATCTTTAATGGATCGAAACAAGGTATCTTCGAACATAAACATATATAGACAAGGAACCATCTTAGTTCAAAAGTTGTTTAAATAGTTTGCATGTTTTATAAGACTCTGACCAATTAAATGTATATGAATTTAACACTATTAATTCTTCAAATATATAATCTAAATCTAATGATATGAGAAGGATTGCAGTAGTAATCCTATTTGCTAACTGTTGCCCATACAGAAGAAAAGGACCTGCTCTTTAGCAGAAAATTACACTTCTTAAGACACATTGCCTGTCTTTAGTTCACTCCCAGGTTGATTTCAAATGTGTTTTTCACGGGGAAACTTGGCAAATGTTTTAGTTGTTGCCAATCTTGAGTAATCAGAATGATGAATTTTGCCGATGATGTCAGGTTGGGGGGTCTTGAAGGAGGGCTCAGTTGCGGAGATGAGGGGAAACAAGGTTTATTGTACAAAAAACCAGAGTCCAGACAAAGTACAAATCAAAGCTGTGGAAAACTGTGAGCAAAGTAACAAAACAATAAGCAAACAAGACTGAGGCAAAACTATGACAAAGTAACAAAATAAAGAATGACAAAACTGTGGCAAAACTGTGACTATGGCTGTGGCAGAACTATGACGAAAACAAACCTGGCGTGGGGGTGACGAAGGTCAGGACGGACAAGAGACGAAAACGCACAGACAAGGGGAAACAGGACTATTTAAACACATGATTTAAACACATGAGGGAAGGGAATCCCAGGTGTACACAATAGGTAATCAAGACGAGACGAGACACCAGACGTGACAGATGAAACCATTCCCCGAATAACATGGAATTCCTGTATGTAAGTTGGGTCAGGACATTATACATACGATCTGAAAATGTCATACTCTCTGGGTTTTACTGAATTAGTTTTATATTAAATGTACTCTTTTTTTTTCTCCTGTTTTTTTTTGTCTCCTGTCTCCTTTTATTTGAACATTTTCTAATTGAAAACACTGGCTTTTATTTTTTAAATTGTACTACTTCCTATGTTACATCTGGATACTGTTGCTGATTGGCTTTCATTCATTGCCTAGTAATTCAGTATAACAATAATCTGACTTATTTATTAGCTATGACTTTTTTTTTTTTGTTATATTCTCATATGTATAAGTCCTGCTCCAGCAGGATGTTCAGTTTGTATATATGAGACTGATTAGAAACAGAAACACTGACTATACTTACGCTTCAAAGAATCCATTGCACCACTTCCTGGACATAGGCACTCATTTTCCTGATCAAATATTTCTGTGATAATTTTACCCCCTGAACCTGTATTTTACATCAGTACAGGAAAGGAATTGAAAGGATACCGATAAGTCATTTCACAATGTATTTTAATTGACAATGATGGGTCTAACCATCGATGTGTATACATATTGAGAGTGCAAAGTTTACACAAAAAGAGAAGGCAAACATTTTTTGATTTTTAAGAAAAACAAGTATACATGAAAACTAAATGTTTTTAAATGCAATATCTAATTATTCACCCGTAGCTTGTCGAGAGTCATGAACATATACAAACATTTTCAAATTTCCAGCATTATTCTCCACAGGCCATAGTGGGCCTCTCAGATTTAGGAAATTTTCTCTGTTCTTTTGATCAAATACTGAATGTACGTGCTGTAGTTTTCCCTTTTAGTGCATTTTTACTTACATTTCATACAACATTTTAATATCATATACATATTTTCCTGATTTCTTTCTAATCCTGCTCAATGTACATAGTAGAATCCTGCCTTTAAGTATTGTTATCGTAATCATCTTAGAATAAATGTTTATTATTGTAGAAACAAGAAATGACTTATATGATGACTTGTACTGACATGCATTATGCACTAAAGCACTAAAGATTTACAAAAGGAGTAAGAAAGTGCTAGTGATGGCAACAGTGAGAATGACTGAAGTTTTGCTTGTGCCAGCCTGGCTCAGAAGCACAAACACCACTTCCCTTTCAGAATATTGACTAATTTCGTTTTGGATGTTTGTCATTACACCAGACAAAAGTTTAAGCTGTGACACCGTTTCACAAGTGGACACGTCCAGCAGTTTTATTTCCAGGGATTTAAACAAAAGCTCCTCACAGCTCACCCTCCTTGAGACAGCTATAGATATATTGGCTACTATTTTCCCTTGGCTGACTATAAACACTACTGTACTACCTGTCTGGCAATGCGTCTGGCAGCCATCGTTGATAGTCATACTTATCTCCTCTGGGCTGAGGAATGTTTGCAAGCAATGCACATCACAGTTGTTGAACTTCCCGAATATGATCTCAGTTATATTATTGTGTATATTTTCTGTACAATTCTGCAGGCAGTCATTCGTGGACTCGGTACTTTCTGATGGGACAACTGTCGTGACGGGGGTTGTAGTTGAGACAGGATTTGTCATTGAGACAGGGGTTGTCATAGAGACAGGGGTTACAGTTAAGCCAGGGGTTGCCGTTGAGCCAGGGGTTGTTGTAGAGACAGGGGTT